TTCTAGGGATAGATCACATTCCTGCAGCTAACCACAATATCCCTAAGGGCAACAATAACAATCCAATTGCTAAAAGTGAGCAATTTAGTTAGAAGCAACCTATACAAATAGCCTCTAAGTCATGTCCAACATAGGGACGCTACTAATTGAATAAAAATTCTGACAAAGGAGAATTATATCAACTCAAGCAGCCAACAATCAACAATCACGGCTACAAGTAAATCAAGGATAACAACCCAAATACATTGCTTCTAAGCTTTAAGGAAACATGTCGTAAGTACGGAATAGCCTTAACATACCTTTTTTGTTGAATTCATGTGTCCTAATAACTTTAATCATAACCCCCTTTGATACTACAACAAGACAGGATCATAATCAATACAAAAGAATAGAAGATACAATGAAAATCTGATAAAACATATGTATTTCCATCGCAAATTGCTATTTGTGACTTATCAAAGCTAGAGTCGATGAAAGAAGGGTCTTACCTTGATTATAAGTTTGTAATACACCTCAAAACTTTAAAATATGCCCAAACCCCTGCTGTCCACACACCAAATTACGATATGTTAGGAAATTGATAAAATAAATCATACCATGTTGATGAGCTCAACGCGTAGAACAATTTTTGTCAAAGACTTAAGTCACAAAAATCAGTAACTTGTCTTGTTCTAAAAGTGGGTTTTTGTAGGTTTTGTGAGATTTCTGGTTCTTCACTAAGGAAAATGAAGGAAAAATGAAGAAAAATCGAAGAAGATGAAATATATAAAGTTCCACCGACCTAGGGCATCCACCTCACCTGCCTGCTTGTGAAGTCTTGTGAACACGCAAATATCTCTCCATTCTGAAGTCGTATGAATTAACGGGCTGATGCCTTGGAAACTAGACTCGTAGATCTTCGATTTCATAGGTCGCGGGGACCATACCTCTTAATAGATTGGGAGAAAACGTCTGAGACATTTGACCCAAATTTCAGACAAATCTTTAAAAAGGAATTTACGGTAACTTTCGCCAACTTTTATTTTGCCACTTGCCTAACTTCAAAACTTGAGATACAACACTTAAACACTTAAAATATCACATAAAACATCATTCTTAATTTATTACCCACCCTCCTGGTCTTTCCACGAAGATACGAGTCAATTTATACGTTTCAAAAAGTCTGGGTGTTACAATTATTGGGGGTTTGATGGTGGTTGGATAATGGGATTGGAACAGTTGAGAGGGGAAGTGGGGAGAGGGGTGGGGAGGGGGTTGTAACGGTTGGGAGTGTGGGATGAACATAAAATGAGGGAAAAATTAAATGAATGTGGCTTTAAAATTCCCTTGGAGTCGCAGGTCGGGTCAACTTATTTAAAGTTATTGGCCATCATGAAACCCCATTACAAACTGTAGGACTTTCTATGATCCGTATAAAGCTTTCATAGGTCGAATCAACACTTAGTGAAATTTGAGAAACATACTTGGAGTCTATGAGTAAAGACTACGGAACATGTGAGTATAACTTTTGAATGAATAAAGTTTACCCAACTACTACTCGATCTGTTTAATGGATACCACATGTGAATATACCTTTTGACCTATGTTTTACAAATTGATATGCATATCTTTGACATTATCATCCATTTAGTCGAACCTTTTTATCATCTTATACATTATGTCCTTAATTCATGCCAAACTTGGTCCTCCATCTCGATTGCCTAGTGGAACATACAAACCACCTTTGTACATTTTGTTGTTGTCTTTACATTGCCCAACCACCTTCTCTGTCTTAACCTCGATTTTTGTCATTATACCCATTATGGATGTAATTGTTATCAAGATTGTAGTTCCTATTATGGTTGTAATTTTTGTCCTAATTATAGTTTCGACCTTGATTCCCTTGACCTTGACATCAAGTATCCTAATTGGATGCTTGGGCGTTAGTTTAGAAATCCCCTTTTGATCATTCATATAGTAAGCATCCTCTTCATATCCATAATAATCCTACGATGGCATTCTTCTTTGGTAGTTGACTGCATTAACCTTTTCTGCACCGGCACCTAAATGTTTTAACACCAACCCAACCTCTATTCTCAATTGTGCCACCTCTTGATGCATATCATTGTTCACTTGGTTTTGCCTTTTTTATTACTTAAAAAGTACTCTTGAAGTTTCTGTACTTATAGTACACCAAGCTTTATTAGTTTTGGCAACCTTTTCAAGTTTCTCTAATGTCCGCTCAAAAGTGTTCACTCCGAATGATCCTCCAGTGATAATGTTTGCCACTGATTTTCCATTGCCATTCAATGCTCTATAGAAGAACTCAATAAGCGACTCATCATCTATTCTGTAGTTTGGTACTCTTCTTAAGTAACTTGTAAATCATTCCCATGCAGCACTCACCGACTCTCCAGGTAGTTGCTCAAAGTTATTGATTCTATCCTTCAATTTCAACTTATTTTATAATGGGAAGTAAGCTCTGTGCAACTCATTCCATGTGTTAATTTAGTTATATAGAAGTTAAGATAGCCACATAGTTGAATGGCCAATTAATGAAAATGGGAACACACGTAATCCCATGACATCTGTAATACCTCAGATATGAAAAAAAGGTAAAATTTAGAATTCTAGAGTCTGGTGCCAATACAGACGGAACCACCGATGGTTCGTAGGTCAGACCACGAACCAAAGTGGGAACCGTCAGTGGAAAGCTCCAATGATTTAGAATGTCAAGTCTTAGTACTCTTTTATCATTCACTAGCACGATCCGTCGTTCAATATATGAGTTGTTAGTAGGTCTCATAGGTGAGTCCCAGACTTGATGAAATTTTGAGGGACAAAAGTGGGACTTATGGTGGTCATGTACAGACCGTAGGTTGACCAATGGACTGTACATGGGTCCCGTCATACTAAGGTCCAGAAACAAGTTTATGAACCCACCTACGGTTGACGTCCGTAGTTGGACCTATGGACCATGGGTCTAACCATCGACGAGGTCCGACTATTATTTTTAAGGAGGCATTGGGTATTTTTCTAATTTTTTTAATCCAATACTATGTTGTTTTACCCTATACCCTAAGCCCTATATAATGAATTTAAACCCCCAAATCACCCAATTCAATTCACTCTCTTAAATTCCCAAAAGTTGATCAAGTTCATCCTTTCAAATATTTTTCTCTCTAAGGAAGAAGTAGAAGTTTAGGGTTTCAATATCAAGTCTCCAATCCACCTTATGTTTTGGGATTCAAACTCCAATGTATGATAGTCTTCACTTATGGATCTCTTCCCTCCATAGTGTTCCTAAAATTCCCAATTTTGTAAAGTTAGATTCCCACAACAATTTGGGTTTTTATTCAATTGACATGGCTTCCTTTCATTATTGATCCAATTGAATGTTATATGTATTCTTATGCATAATTGAAGTAATTGCATGTTTTAAGTTGAATTCCCCATGAACCCATGCATAACCCATGTTTTATAGACTACGATGGTACAATGTGGGTGTTGAACTATTAAAGATAAATTTATGAAGATATGCATGTTCTTTACGAAATTGATGAAAATGATTTAAGTTGGTTTGAGTGTGAAGCATCAATGTTGTTGTTGATGTGAAAGGATTTATCACATACTAGTCAATACATGAATGTGAAAGGGTTTTCTCACATAAAGGATTCTTAGAGTTGAAGTGTTTTCTCAACTAAACTATGAATCAAGACTTAGGAGCTATTTTAATGGATTCTATCTGTAATTGGCTATTTGATGTGCCTTCCATTAATGATAAGACATGCAACGATTACCTATGTCTCTTAATGATAAGACAATTTAAGACTAATGATTTTTCCATGGGATTTATGCTTAGCAGCGAGTGGAAAAGAGGTGATTACCCATGTCCCATAAACTATGTGCCACTATAGGTTTGTCTTAGATAGACATTAGCTACTGGATTCACTTAAGATATAAGTTTATGGTTCTTACCTTGGCAATCAAGGATATCTCTTTTTGGTGTGGGATAGACACCAAATTCCATTTTATAGCTCACATGGTCTATATGTTGGTTAATTACTACTTCCCACAATAATGAACTAAGGTTACTTCTACAAGTCTCTCACATATGTTTTGAAGATGATTTTTACTTTCATTGACCATGATTACAATTATGTTTCTAACCTCTTATCGTATATTTTAACTTGGTCTTTGCATGTCATGAGAAGTACTTTAGCATGATTTCATAACTCTTATGTATTTCTATCATACTTGGTACATTCTTTGTACTAACACATACTCTTGCCTACATTGTTTCATTAATGTAGGGTCTGATACTCCTATTCCGCATCCTCGTGGCTAGTGGTCACCTTAGTAGGTTATGAAGAGTGGTGAGTCCTCATGTTTTGAGGACTGAACCCGTTATTTTTTTCTTTACTTTTTCACATTATATGTGATGTATGGGTTATATCCCAATCACTCTTTGTTTTGCCAAACATTTATGGTATAAGCTGTCTTTTAAACTCTTAAACTCCATTATCTTGTATGATGTATGCTTAGTGGCTTGTTTAGGGCCTTTTGGGGTCTTATGCACCATGTCACGTCTAGGGTGTACTTTAGGTCATCACAAACTTGGTATTCAGAGCACAAGGTTTAGAAAGGTCCTAGGATGTCTCACAAGTCACATTGAGTAGATTCTTGTTCATGAGTGTGAAGAGCACCATATTTATGAATAAGAAGCTATAAGACTATTAGGAAACTCCAATTCTTTCATTACTATAAAGTCGTGTGATAGAGTGTAACTCTATGTCTCCTTCTCCCAAAGAGCTTACGTTAGGAGGAATGTGAATGAGAATGTTGAACGATAAGCTCCTCCTCAAGATCCTCAAGTTTCGGTCAACCCTTTGGCTGAACAAGTGACTAATGCGGAGTTTAGGGATGCTTTTCAAGTATTGGCCCAAGCCATGATGGATCAAGCCAATAGGAAGGTTATGGTCCTCGTAAACCCAAATATGGTTACAACAACATCTAGAGTAATGGACTTCACTAGAATAAATCCTTTAGAGTTTCATGGTTCGAAGGTTGAGGAAAATCCTCAAAAGTTCATTGATGAAGTGTACACAGTGGTGATGATCATGGGAGTGACACCGGTGGAAAATGCAGAATTGGCCATTTATCAACTTAAGGGTTTTGCTCAAGTGTGGTTCAACCAATGGAAAGAAGAGATGGTAGTTGATGCTGGTGCTCTTGATTGGGAAAAACTTAAGGTTTCTTTCCTTGATAGGTTCTTTCCCCTTGAGATGATAGAGGTAAAGGTACTTAAATTCATAAACCTTCATCAAGGAAACATGAGTGTGAAGGAATATGCTTTGGAGTTCACGCAATTGTCTAGGTATGCTCCTACTATAGTTGTCGATCCTAGGGCAAGGATGAGAAAGTTCATTTCGGGAATGTCCGAGATGGTAGTCAAAGAATGTCGTACCGCCATGCTCATCAATGGTATCTAAATTTCTTATCTAATGGTGCATGATCAAGAAATAGAAGAAGAGAAACTTAAGGAAAGATCTAGGGAGACAAAGAAAGAAAGGATCGGGGATGATGACTTTTGACATTCATGGTCCGATGGACATGGTCGTTCTAAGTTTTGACATTGGTTTTCTGGTGAAGGCTCCTCTAATGCTACTCCTAGATTCAACAAAGAAAGAGTGTTTAACCCTAAGTCTCAAGGAGGAAATGGTAGTGGATCTTCATTGTCTACTTGTGTTAAATATGGAAGGAAGCATGGGGTTAGATGTCTAGCCGATTCTAATGCATGTTTTTGTTGTGAAAATATGGATCACATGATAAGGAATTGTCCCTCAGTTTCTAAGAATGAAGAAGATAATCGTCGACAGGCTCATCCTTCGTCCGGTTCTAGTGGAAGTCAGAAGCAAAACATGTTTTAAGCATTCCAGACTCGTCACGAGTAAGAGGGTTCTCCCGATGTGGTTACCAACATGTTAAAAGTCTTTCATATTTATGCTTATGCTTTGATTGATCGCGGTGTTACCTATTCTATCGTGACACCATATGTGGCTATGAGGTTTGATATTCTTCTAGATGTGTTGTTAGACCCTTTTTCTATCTTTACTCCAAATGGTTAATCTATTATGGCTAAGAGAATCTATTGAAATTGCCCCATCTCCTTATACCATAGAGTCACTCATGTTGATCTTGTAGAGCTTGATATGCTAAATTTCGATGTTATTCTTGGTATGGATTGATTGCATTCTTTGTATGCTTCTCTTAATTGTAGAACCTGAGTGGTCAAGTTTCAATTTCCAACTGAGCCTATCCTAGAGTGGAAGGGGGAAATTCTATGCTGAAAGGTCAGTTTGTTTCTTGTCATAAAGCTAGAAAGATGATTTCTAAGGGTTGCATATACAATCTTGTCTGGGCTAGGGACATGGATTCTGAAACCCCTACTCTTGAGTTTTTCCCCGTGCAAATGAGTTTCCAGAAGTGTTTCTTGATGATCTACTCAGCGTTCCTCCCAAAAGGGAAGTAGATTTTGGTATTGACATTCTCCTAGACATGAAACCTATCTCTATCCCTTTTTACCGAATGGCTCCATCAGAACTTAAGGAATTAAAGGAGAAATTGAAAGAAATTTTGGATAAGGGTTTAATCTGATCGAGTATCTCTCCATGGGGTGCTCCCGTCTTGTTTATTTGAAAGAAAGATGGTTCGCTTTGTATGTGCATCAATTACCGTAAGTTGAACAAGGTTACCATTAAGAATAAGTATCCTCTTCCAAGGTTAGATGATTTGTTTGATCATCTACAAGGAGCAAGTTACTTCTCTAACATTTACCTCGGGTCAAGTTATCACAAATTATGGGTGAAGGAGAATGACATTCCGAAAATGGCTCTTCAAACTCAATATGGTCATTATGACTTTTTGGTGATGTCCTTTGGCTTGACCAATGCTCCGACCGCATTTATGGATTTGATGAATAGGATGTTTAAACAATACCTTGACATGTTTGTGATTGTGTTTATTGATGATATATTGATCTATTCAATGAGAGAAGACGAGCACACCGATCATTTGATGATTGTGTTGCAAGTTCTCAGGGACCAACAAATCTCTGCAAAGTTTTGTAAGTGCGAGTTTTGGTTAAGATCCGTGGTTTTTCTTGGACACATTGTTTCAAGAAAGGGCATTGAGGTAGATCCTACAAAGACAGATGTGGTTAAGAGCTGTCCTAGACCTATATCCCCTTCAGATATTAGAAGTTTCTAGGATTTAGCCAGTTACTATAGAAGGTTTGTGGAAGGGTTTTCATTGATTGCCTCTCCATTGATGCCATTTACCCAAAACAAAGTCAAATTCTTATGGTCGAAAGCTTGTGAGAAAAGTTTTCAGGAACTGAAGGATAACTTTACTTCCGCTCCGGTGTTGAACTTACCGAAAGGAACCGATGGGTTAATTTTTAATTGTGATTCTTCAAGAATTGGGTTAGGATGGGTCCTTATGAAAAATGGGAAAGTCATTGCCTTTGCCTCAAGGCAACTTAAGGTGCACGAAAAGAACTATCCTACCCATGATTTAGAACTAGTGACGGTTGTATTTGCTTTAATGATTTGTATGCACTATTTATACGGTGTTCATGTTGATGTCTTTACCGACCACAAAAGTTTTCAATATGTGTTTAAACAGAAGGATCTAAATCTTCGCGAAAGAATGTAGCTTGAGTTATTAAAGGACTATGACATGAGTGATCTCTATCACCCAAGAAAAATGAATGTGGTGGCGAATGCTCTTAGTCCATTGTCAATGGGTAGTGTTGCTCACGTTGAGGATTGTAGGAAGGAGTTAGTTCAAGATGTTCATAGATTGACCTGAATGGGTGTTCGGTTGGTTGACTCCACCAAAGGCGGTATTATCTTCCATAATGGTTAAGAATCGTCTTTTGTGTCTGAAGTGAAAGCAAAACAAGGTCTTGACCCTCTCTTGATTGAGGTGAAGGAAAAAATGCTTAAGAAATTCAGTGAGGCTTTCTCCAAAAGGGGAGATGAAGTATTTCGATATCAAGGTCATTTGTGTGTTCCCGGGCAAATCCTAGTAGAATCCCATAGTTCCTGATATTCCATTCACCCGAGAGCCAACAGGATGTACTATGACTTGCGGGAGGTTTATTGGTGTAACGGGATAAAGAAGGATATTATGAAATTTATGGCTAAGTTTCCTAATTGTCAACAAGTGAAAGTTGAGCATCAGAAGCCGGGAAATTTTTCCCAAGATATTAGCATTCCTACTTGGAAGTGGGAAGATTTTAATATGGACTACATTATGTTGAAATCGGCTCATTTCATTCCCGTCAAGGTGTCTAATTCAGTGGAGGACTATGCTAAGATGTACTTGACAAAAATGGTTAGGTTGAATAGAGTGACCTTCTCCATTATCTCCGATTATGGTACCCAATTCACTTCTCAATTTGGAAAATCTTTAAAAAAAGGGCTTGGTAGTCGTGTTAAGCTTAGTATGGCCTTTCATTGTCAAACAGATGGGTAAGCGGAGCGTACTATCAAAAATTTGGAGGATATGTTAAGAGCTTGTGTAATTGACTTCAAGGGTAATTGGGATGATCATTTGCCTTTGATTGAAGTTGCGTACAATAATAGCTATCACTAAAGCATTGGTATGGCTTTATATGAGGTTCTATATGGTAAAAGATGTAGATCTCCTATAGGTTGGTTTTAGTTCAGTGAAGTTGCGATGATAGGTCTCGAGTTAGTACATGAGGCTATGGAGTAAGTTCGGCTTATTAGAGAAAGGTTGAAAATGGCTCAAAGTCGGCAAAAGTCCTATGCTGATGTTAGAAGAAGAGATCTTGAGTTTGATGTGAATGATTAGGTCTATTTGAAAATTTTACCCATGAAGGGTGTAATAAGATTTGGAAAGAAAGGGAAGCTTAGTCCGCGTTATGTGGCCTCATATCCGGTTTCGAGGCATGTTGGTAAAGTTTCTTATAAACTTGAATTACCTAATGACTTGGCATCAGTGCACCCGGTTTTCCATGTCGCCTTCTTAAAGAAATGTGTGGGTGATCCAATTTCGATAGTACCATTGGAGAGTCTTTATATAAAGGAAAATCTTTATTATGAAGAAGTTCCGGTTGATATTTTGGACAAACAAGTTCGAAAGTTAATAAATGAAGAAATTGCTTATGTGAAGGTTCTTTGGAGGAATCAGTTAGTTGAGGGTGCTACTTGGGAGGTCGAGGCTGATATGATATCCCGTTATCCTCATCTCTTTCCCTATGTTCCTACTCTAGCTCGAGGTATTTGTTCTTATGATTTGCTCTTTTAATGTCACGTGTATTAGATATTCCCCTGATTCCTCATTATGCATGTTCATGAAAAGCTTGAATTTTTAGAAAATGTGTTAACTTATTTGATTTATTCATAATTGTGTATATTTGAGCATGAGTTGCATATAGACCTTATGAGATGATGTTCTGAACATGATTTAGCTTGTAGTAGATGTTTCCTCCTCGATATGTGCATTTATGTGATTTCATTCATGTTGGGCAATTAGATATAGTTCCAACCCTCCTTATGATGTCTTGAATCCTATTCGAGGGGGAATGTTCCCAATGGGGAGATATTGTAACACCTTGGATTTGAAAAGAGGTAAACTGCAGAATGCTAAAGTCTAGTGCCAGTACAAACGCAACCACCGACGGTCTGTAAGTCTGACCACGGACTGTAGGTGGGAACTGTCGGTGGTATGCTCCAATGATAGAATATTAAGTCGCATTACCCTTTTACGACTCACCCTGATGATCCGTTGTTCAATATACGAGTCATAGGTAGGTCTCTTAGGTGAGTCCAAGTCTTAGTGAAATTTTGAGGACCAAAAGTGGGACTTACGGTGGCCAAGTATAGACCGTAGGTTGACCAACGAACCGTACATGGGTATCATCGATGTTTGAAGGTCTAGAAACAAGTTTCTAAACCTACCAGCAATTGACCAGGACGGTACTTAGTTGGACCTATAAACCGTGGGTCCAACCGTTGACGGGGTAAAACAAATTATTTTATGGGGGCTTTGGGTCTTTTCCTAATTGTTTTAACCCAATACTATATCGTTGTACCATGTACCCTAAGCCCTATATAATAATTTTAAACCCCAAATCACCCAATTCAATTCACTCTCTTAAATTCCCAGAAGTTGATCAAGTTCATCCTCTCAAATATTGCTCTCTAAGAAGAAGAAGAAGAAGTCTAGGGTTTCAAGATCAAGTATCCAATCTACCATAGCTTTTGGACTTTGAAATCCAAGTATGATAGTCTTCACCTATGGAGCTCTTCCCTCCATAAGTTTCATAAGAACCCCAATTTTGTATATTTATATTCCCCAATCAAATTAGTGATTTTATTTAATTGCCATGGGTTCCTTTCAGTATTGATCCAATTGATTGTTTTATGTCTTCTTATGCATGAATTGAAGTAATTACATGTTTTAAGTTGAATCCCCCATGAACCCATGCATAATCCATGTTTTATAGACTATGATGATACAATGTGGATGTTGAACTATGAAAGATGAATTTATAAACATATGTAAGTTCTTTATGAAATTGATGAAAATGATTTAAGTTTCTTTGAGAGTTAAGCATCAATATTGTTGTTGTTGTTGTGAAAGGATTTCTTACATACTACTCAATACATGAATGTGAAAGGGTTTTCTCCCTTAAAGGATTCTTAGAGTTGAAAAGTTTTCTCAGCTAAACTTTGAATCAAGGTTTAGGAGCTATTCTAATGGATTCTAGCTTGGATTGGCTATTTGATGTGCCTTCCATGAATGATAAGACAAACAAAGATTACCCATGTCTCTTAATGATAAGACAAGTTAAGACTAATGACTTTTCTGTGGGATTTATGCTTAGCACCGAGTG